TCACCACATATTGCAATTTTAGCGAATCGAGGCCGCCTTCGCTGCGCTCGGCAGCCAGTAGAACGCCCGCATTTGCGTTACATTAATTAACCCTAGCCCGTGACAGACAGACGGACAGACAGCACACTCCACTAGAGAGGTAAGATAAAGAGGTCTGTAAACAAAGCTATCGAGCCCCACAGCGGGATTATCCGTCCACCTCTAGCCCTTGTTCAGTAGAAGCTGCAGTGGTTTCAATGCCTTGCTGCTGCCACTTGACGCAGCATCTAGACGCTGAGGATGCTGGACATGGTAGTTTTGGAGTTCTTGGTATTCTTCGCGAAGTGATAAGTCCGCTCGTATGTGTCGTTAGGCCGTATCGGGCCAGTCGCCGCTGGCGTCACTAGTGGTGGACTCGACCGGCCCAAAACGTCCCCGAGCAAAGCGGAGATAAGTAAAAAGGTGGACGATAAGTAGACGAGCAGAAGAATAGAGTATCATGTAGGTAGAGCAAAGATAAAGCGCAGCAGTACACTCAACGCCCCGGCGACGAAATATAGTGCCCTCGGGCGGTGGTCGCCGCAGCTGGTGAGCTCGCTGAGAAATTGTGGTTGTGAGCTTTTGAAAGAAACAATCTTTTCGGTGATAGAAAATGATATTGTGAGTTCTAGTGAAAATTTCCGAATCAGCCGATTGAACCGCTCCGGAGTTTCGATCTGAGTTTTGCCCTTCCTATATTATAGTGTATTCCAAATAATGGTGTGTATCTGACCAGATTCCCAAAGAGTCGTTTCTCCTTAGAGAGTGGCCCGACTGGATTAAAAATGCCTTGTTTCATCCAACCAAATTGCTCAAATACGCGTGTCATGTCGGACGATTCAAAGCGCTGGAACGTCTTCACAGCGAACGAAGTCAGGTCCCGGCCACTAGATTCGTCATAGTGCCGCATAAAAGCCTTCTTCACGTACCCAAAGAAAAACTCAATGGGATTAAAAAATGGGCAATACGCCGGCAAAAATAGGGATCACGCCGACACTTCGCAGGTAGTGTATAATCTCTGGATGGCGATGGATTGATGCTCCATCGAGAATCCACACCGAGCTAGATCCCGGGTATTGATTTACGCGCCCACGTGCTGAGTACACGAAATCTTTGCAACAACTCACGAAGCTCAACCTGTCGAACGTTCCTGGTGTATCGTAGTAGTCGAGTAAACCCGTTAGCTCCCAATAAACGCTAACACTGAAATCCTTGGCTTTTTCTGAAAGTCTCCACGTACGGCAACCTTTTCTCCCCATATTGAGTATTATCCTCTTTTTCGTATCATTCCGCGGTTGTATCAAATGATACTTCGTCTAGGAAGACAAGGTTTTGATGACTCCAATTAACAGTACTGAGCTCCTCAACGAATCTGAATACATCGCTTTTATTAATATGCATTGCACGTCTTTCAAGGACCTTCCAAGTAAGTCCGAAGTCGTGGGTAATGCGCCAAACGGATGACTTTGAAATCGAAATGTGGTGAGCTTCAGTGAAAGCTGCTTGTGCTTCGTCCAAGTAGGCAAGCGGTTTTTTTCTGATAATGGTTGTTGAGCCATTCTCTATGCGCTGATGTAAACTTCCTGTCCACTTCTGTGTTCGCCCGCTGAAATGTTCCTGTGTCCTCGTAGACCTGCATCCAGTTACCGATGGTTCTTACGTCCTTGTTGTAGACATGAGCGAGCTGCTGGCGAGTGTAGCCAAGATTGTAGAGCGCGTAAAAGCAGTGGAACACTGTGTTTGGATGAGCATGTTGCTTAGTGGCGGCCAGCTCCATTTTCGCTTATTGTGTGTGGTGAAGTGCTTTCTCAGAAATAAGAGAATGGGCCCGACGCGGGGTCACTATCCCGAATCAGTGACAATTTCAAGTGATTAGAGAGGATTTGGGTTGTCTGGCACGGATGCAAGTTGCCTGTGGTGGATTAGCCATGACGAACAGCACCCCGTATGAAATGACGATGGATCTGGTATGAGCGATATACAAGAAGGCAAGATCCACCAAGACTTATCTCGGATCCACCCTTACCTGGATTCACTTAGATGGATATGGGATATACTATATAAGAGTGGATCGAGTGTGGATCCTATGAAGGAATGATGGTAGGTGCCCTCTGAAGGTGGATCTAGTCCCCTGGAGAGCAAGAAGTCAAGATCCCCCGCGAGGTGACCCAGGGTGAAGCTCCATTCGGATCCTAGGAGGGAGGATCACGCAGAGAGAGACCCTAGATCCAGGGTACAGAGACAATGGATGCTGGGATCTTGAAGTTTCGAGGGAAAATGGAGATCACAGACGGCTGCAAGATGATGTTGGATGATTGGAGAGCCCAGATCCACGACGAGTGTGCACTTACAGTGAAGTGGATCCAGCGACCTGGGTCCGGATGAGTGTACCCATAATAGGGTGACCATAATGATTACGTCATGGATCCGGTAGATCTGAAGATAATACAGCTGGGATGAGGGGTCAAGGGAAGAAGGGACATGCAGCCGGGCCTGGTAAGGGATTTAGCAAGTGAAAGACATAGAAGGTAGAAATCCAGGCAGGTATAGGCTTAAGTATCAATACAGAACCTCATTTGCACCATAACACGCAAGTGCCTTCCTGCCCTCAAGAACCGGAGCTACAAAGGTTGGGAATTGCGAATCTAGTGTTGGTAGTGATAATTGGATAATACAATGGCCAGTTCCTACAACCTAGTAAGCTTTCCCATACACGTGCAGATCCGACGGGTAAACCGAATTTGCTACTTGGTCGGTTATACCCGAGAGGCTCTCAACTCTCAAGATCCCGTCACAGGAGGCGGCAAGTACGACGCAGAGGAACTACAAAGGCAAGGGAACACACCCGCAAAGCAACCCTACGGCCAGATCCACGATCTAGGCCCCGGATCCATAAGCTCGAATATTTGCTTAGGATACGGAACCATCCACGGACGCAGAGTGAAGATTTTCCACTGCTGCTCCACCCCATCCACACGTCTCGCCAAGACACTCAAGCTTCACCACTTGAACTCTTCGGAAGTTATCGAGAGAGCAAGATCCCGAGCTACCGACGGGGGACACAAGGTGAAGGAAAGTTCAGCAGAAAACAGATCATCGGGGGACCCCCTCCTGTTAGAGGCTGTCTAGACAGAGATGTGCAGCGAGGATCTATACGACCACTAAGACGTGGTGCAGGAGATATGCCACAGGGAAGAGAGAGACACATACAAGGAGGTGTTTGTGGAGACATCTATGATGCCATGTAAAATCGGTTACGTCAAGAGTAAGACAAAACTCAGATAGTAGTAATGATACAGAACCACATCGTACGTATTAACGAAGACTAATTCATAAGATGAGACTGGTACGAACGTAAGGTGAAGAAGTCCGACTGAATTTGAAGAAGGGACAGGCAATGGGAAGACGAT